GGCAGAGCCCCTGGCTTTCTGCAAAGCTGCAGTCACCACCAAATCCCGGGCTCTTCTAAGACCCTCAGAACGTGTAATCCTTGGGGCTGGGAAGCCGGGCCGGGCAGGAGGGAGCATCGTACCCGCCTAAATGCGAGAAGTGACGGCACGTCCTTCCTCGGCGTCCCCACCTTCGGGCATTGCCAGTCCGCCGTCCCAGTTTTTGCCACATGCACTTACCGCCAACTCTCTTATTTCCTTGATACGTCTTTAGATTGACTCACTTCACAAACATAACTGAGAGAACGCGATATCACAGACCCTGTCAAGGAAACTTTAGGGACATCGGGTAGTGTTTCCAAAAGGATTCAGGAAGAAAGAGAGTAAAGACACTGGTCACGTGGGGAAATGCAAACAAATGCGGCTGGCGGAAGACACAATAAATAATGCCTCCTCGGTGCAGCTCAAATTCCGTTGTTTTAAAAGCACCGCAGTGGCAGAAATGGGGGACCGGTATTCCACACTACAAAGAGAGTGCGAAAGAACCACAGCCTGGGGGGCTCGAAAGAACAGAAATTTCTCGTTTCACGGTTCCGGGGGCCGAAAGTCTGAAAAGTTGGTTCCCTGGGAAAGCTGTGAGGGAGAAGTTTTTACTCCTCTTCGTTTCTGGTGGCCCCAAGCGTTCCTCGGCTTGTATATGGCATTCTCCCTGTGTCTTCACATCATCTTCCTTCTACGCACGTGTCTCTGTGTCCAGATTTCTCCTTTTTATAAGGGCACAGTCGTATTGGATTAGGGCCCACCCTCGTGATCTCGTTTTAATTTGACCATCTGCAAAGACGCTCCTTTCCCATAAAGTCACATTTCACGGGTCCTCAGGGTTAGGACTCGAGCAGCTTTTGAGGAGCACAATTCGGCCCATTGCAGAGGGTAACCATTAAAAATTAATGTGATGAACATAAAACCGCGCAGTGAAATTCCCAGTACTCTACCCTGCCCAGTGGTTCTGAGCCTGAGGCCTGTTCTCTTTTGTTCAAAAGGGGGGAAATTCACAAAGGTTAGAGAGGCGGACAAAGCTGCCCCCAAACGAGGCTTTCTCCATGCTGGCATCAGTGTCGAAAGGCAGCGGAACCCGCAATGGCTTTCTCACTGTGTCGTTGCATGTTCCTTCATGCTCTGTCCCCGTGGCTCTGCCCTGCACTGGGCGAGTAATGACCCCGTAGCAGCGGCGGACACAGAGCCTAAACTCTCCCACCGCCTCACAAGCAAGTCTCACTCCATTTGTTACAGCAAAACCTGAAGAGCGGGCACCACCCGCCCATTTCACAGAGCAGGACGCTGAGGCTCAGGGAGGAAGCACTGGGGCTTGAACCTAGGCCTTCCTGACCCCAGATTCCCCCCGGGGGGACTGTCACTGCGCCTCCCAATACCTCTGCATGTCACTTGCCGCCCTCGGGCCTGTGTCCACACCTAGGAAGTGAGGGGGGCGAAGGGAGGGCACCCGAATGACGCCTCCTTCTCTGCTCCATCCCTCTTTCTTTCTTTCTTTCCCCACTCAGGGCCCCCCGGGGGCAGCAGACCCAGTCCTGGGCCAGCAGGACGCTTTCCAGACCAGAGACCAGGCAAGTGCTTGCTTCCGGTGCCTGCCCAAGTGGCCACCTCGCTCCCATCTCCCTGCAGGAGCTTGGTCCAGACCTTGGTCCAGTCTGCGTCCTGAGACCTCTCTGATGAGCTCTAAGGCCCCGCTAATTCCAGCGCTCTAGAGAGTCCGTACTAAGATTAGGTCGATGAAACATGACAGCACATGGTGGTTAAAAGCACAGTCTGCTTAGATTCAGCTCCCCGCCCCTTCGCTTCCTTGGGCAAGTCAGCTAAGTTCCCTGAGCCTCAGTTTCCTTATCTCTAAAATGGGAATAGTACCAGGACCTACCCCACAGAGTGGCTGGGGGGATTAAACAAATTAATATATGGGAAACCTGAACACGTGTCCGGGAATGTATGAAAACCATGCTACGTGACAGTGATTGTTACAGATGATACATATGCATTGTCCTCATCACCATCGACCACCATAGCAACAACTTATTCCTTGTTTTCTAATGCACCAGGCACGGTTTTAAGTATTGCACATACACTGTATTTTAAAAATAATAGCTACTACTGTTCAGAACGCCATCAGCTATTATCATTCCCATTTTACAGATGAGGAAACCGAGGCTCAGAGACAGACACTAGGTGACTTGTCCTAGGTCACACAGCAGCTCTTCAAACCCGGGCTCCAGGGCCCACACCACTGATTAGTCCCCGCGCGAGGTCTGTTCCTCCTGCATCTGAATCAGCTCACGGGGCTTGTCATAAAACACAGATTCCGAGGCCCCACTGCACGGCCTACTGATTCCGGGTGGGGCCCAGGAACCTGCATTTCTGCAGGCTTCCCTGGATGGCTTTGACAAAAGTGACATTCTGAGAAACAGCGAAGGGCACGATGTGGCTCCCCTGAGAACGGGAGGTGATAATTCTGTGTCGCAGGGCTGCGGGCGAGCCTGGTGTAAGGCTCGCCAAGCACCTGGCACACAGTAGGTGCTCATCACCCGTGGTGGTGCTGCAGCAGCTGTCATTGACACAGGGACTCAGCTGCCTCTTTCCGGTCCTCTCTCCGTCTCCCCTGCAGAGGTGGCTCCCAGCGACTCCGGCTATATAGGGGCCACTGCCCCACCCCGGGAGGAAAGAATGGGGGGAGTCGGAACCAGGGAGGACCGAGCAGCCCACCCACCAGGCCCCTATTCCCAAGTGTCTGCTGCTGCCCCGCAGCCTGCCACGGCCCCTGCCCGCCAGCCCCCACCCCCGGAGGAGGACGAGGAAGAAGCCAACAGCTATGATTCGGATGAAGCAAGTAGGTGGCACTTAACAGAGGGGCGTCTGGGAAAAGTCCCTTCAGGGTTGCCCCAGAGAAACAGGAAGACTCCAGGGATAGCCCTGTACACCCCTCCCAGCCCCCAGCATGCCACGCATAATAAACGCACTGACCAAGTTATAAAAATACGAATTCGTGTTCTGAATTCACAAAATGGCATCTGCTTTCTAAAGACTAGGTGCTATATATCTGTATTTTTTATCGTAAAATACAGATAACATCAAAGTTACCATTTGCGTCATTTTAAAGAGTACAAGGCAACTACGGCCGTGTCCAGTTTCACAGTTCCTGAAAAGTCAAACGTAGAATTATCACGTGACCCAGCAATTCTGCTTCTAGGTGCAAATGTGCATTTTCCTAGTTTCCCAAACACTTTAATGTCTTCAAAAAGTAACTTTTAACCGTGATTTTAAAATTTCTGGATGTTCTCTCTTGCATTCATCCATTCAGTGATTTATAAAGTGTCCGCTCTGTGCCTCTGCCACTCAGATCCTGAGTCCTAGGGACACACACACACACAC